GTTGTTTATAGTTTTGATTTGTAATAAGTGAAGCTACTATGAATAATTGAGTACAAGAATATGCGTAGGCCTATGCTTTTATTATTCTTGGTAAAGAGCTAAAACATTTGCTCTTCAAAAGACAGTTTCCATGTATTTCAAGACAATATTCCATGTATTTCCATTTGTTGGAATATTATTCAGCAATAAAGAGGAATGAACTATAAATATGTGTTATGCCATGGATGAAAGTAAAAAACCTTATGCTCTGTGAAACAAGCCAGACACAAATGACCATATATTGTATAGTCCACTTATATTAAATAATCAAAAAAGACCAAACTACATATAGAGAAAATAGGTTAGTGGTCACCTATGGCAGGGGTAAGAGGAAAAGAGATTAACAGCAACTATATATGAGGGATCATACTGGGGTGAAGAAAATGTTCTAAAACTCATTCATGGTAATGATTGTACAACTTGGTAAATTATAGTAAAAAGTAATTGAATTGTATGCTTCAAAAGATTGATGTAATCCTAGCTCTCTGGGAGGCCGAGGCGGGCGGATTGCTCGAGGTCAGGAGTTCGAAACTAGCCTGAGCAAGAGCGAGACCCCGTCTCTACTATAAATAGAAAGAAATTAATTGGCCAACTAATATATAGAGAAAAAATTAGCCGGGCATGGTGGCGCATGCCTGTAGTCCCAGCTACTTGGGAGGCTGAGGCAGAAGGATTGCTTGAGCCAGGAGTTTGAGGTTGCTGTGAGCTAGGCTGATGCCATGGCACTCACTCTAGCCTGGGCAACAAAGTGAGACTCTGTCTCAAAAAAAAAAAAAAAAAAAAAAAAAAAAAGATTGAATTATGTGATATGCAACATATTCCTTAATAGTTACTTTTGTAGAAAAAGACATTGTAAATAAAATGAAAAGGCAAGCTACAGACTGGGGAAAAAATATCTAAAACATATATCTAATGAAGAACTCATAACTCAATAATAAAAAATAAGTTGGTTTTAAAAATAGGCAAAAGATTTGAGCAAATACTTCATCAAAGATATATAAGTGGGAAATAAGCACATGAAAACATGTTCAACATCATAGTCATTAGGAAAATGCAAATTAAAGCCACATGCACTGAAAGTTAGCAAAAATATCAGAGTAAAGACCTCTGAAAACTCTTTCCTCCATAAAGCAACCAGAAGACTAGAAAAATTATCAGAATCAACTTTTTTGGAGTTCAGAATTAGCCAAAGACTTGCAGTAATCAGGGATTGTTATTTAAGAAACCTGAATCTTGGAAAGAATAGCAAGCTTTGTGGCATTTTTAACTTGCCCTGTTCCTGTCCTTCCCTCTCCACCTCAGTGATAGCCTTGAAAAACCAACAGCCCACAATTATAGTAGAAACTATTAATAGCAGCCTGGCAGCCATTGAAGGGATCAGAGCAGAGTTAGAGCTCCTACAAAGCATGATGACCAGAGAATTGTCATTATCTGACATGTCTGGTGGTTCTCTGGAAGACACTACTTGCAAAGCTGTCTTTATTTGACCTGACTCAGAGCTCACCCAGTGAAAAAGCCTTTTCCCTGATGGTGTTTGTCTAAAACAATTAGAGGAAATTGATTAACTTCACAACTGCCTGAGGCAAATGATAAATTAACCAAAAACCTTAAAAGGAAAAGCTAAAAAATGAGATATCCAAGGAGGCCTTGAAAAACTTTGACATGTTCTTGGAAATCTAGGAGTCCACTTTTATTCGTAAGGATGTGTACATGTCCAGGACTATCTGCGCGCTCAGGAAAGCCCTGGGAAAGCCCTAAGCTCCCACCTCTGGATGACTTTGAGGCTCTGTGTAAACAGGAAGTGAAGGCTAAGGCATAGTTGTATACTGACTGGCTGAGTATTGAAAGTGTGCCCCAACATGTGCACAGAGCCTCTAGGAAAGACTGAAAGACTTATTGGTTGTAGGAATTTAAGGAAATATCTATCTAATCATTAGCTGACCACTAAGCTAACCTAATAAAAACCTCAGTGCTGATATATCACAAAGACTTTACAGATTAGTTCAAAAAAGGTAATTAAACAAAGAACACAACAAACAGCAAAAACAATAAACCCTGGAGAGGGGAAATAATCTGGTTCTCAGAGTTGCCACATGATAGTATTTAACATGTCCAGTTTTCAACACAAATTTATGAGACCCACAAAGAAACAAGAAAGTATGGCCTATACACAGGAAATATAGCAATTTACTAGTAAGTGTCCCTGAGAAAGCCTGGATATCAGGCTTATTAGACAAAGACTGTAAATCAGCTATTTTAAAGTCCAAAAAATAGAGAAAATGATGCTTAAAAACTAAAGGAAAGTATGAAAACAATGTCTCACCAAATCAAGAATATCAATAAAGTGATAGAAATTATAAATTATAACAAAGAACCAAATAGAAGGTCTAGAGTTGAAAAGTATAATGACTGAAATAAAAATTCACTAGAGGGGGCTCAACAGCATCTTTTAGCAGGCAAAAGAAAGAGTCAGCAATCTAAGTAACAGAAAAAAATGAAGAAAAATAAAAAGCCTTAGAGATCTGCATACCAAATACACATAATGGGAATTCCAGAAGAAGAGGAGAGAATAAACAGGTCAGAAAAAATATGTGAAGAAATAAATGGCCAAAATTTTTTATAAATTTGATGACAAACATGAATCTACACATCCAAAAAGCTAAACAAACTCTAAGTATGATAAACTTAAAGAGAGCCACACCTAGATATGTTATAATAAAACTGTCAAAAGCCAAAAACAGAGAAAATCTTGAAAGCAGCAAGAGAGGAGCAACTTAGCATATACAAGGGATTCTCAATGTGATCAGGAATTGATTTTTCATCAGCAACCATGGAGACCAAAGGTAGTGGAATAACATATAAAAATAGTGCTGAAAGAAAAAGACTGTCAACCATGCAAAATTATCCTTCAATACGAAAGAGAAATTAAGACATTCTCAAATAAATAAAAACCCAGAGAATTCAGTACTAGCAGACCCAGCATACAAGAAATATGAAATGGAGTTCTTTAGACTGAAATGAGAGTACATAAGACAGTAACTCAAATTCATGTGAAGAAACAGAACACTAACAGAGGTAACTACATAAGAAGATAAAATGATAGTATAACTGCATTTTTTGTTTGTAACAATTTTTTCTCCTATCTAATTTAAAAGGCAATTGTATAAAATAATCACAAATCTTTGTTGATCAGAATACAATTTATAAAGATGTAATTTGTGATAATAACACAAAGGAGGTGATAAAGTATAGAGTTTTTGTATTCTATTTAAATTAGATATTAATATGAACTAGAATGTTATAAATTAAGATGTTAATTGTAATCCCCAAGTCAATTGAATTAAGTGAATTAAAATTGACAAGAGAATTAAATGGTATGCTAGAAAATATCTATTTAAAACAAAAGAGGTAGTAATAAATAATAGAGAAATCAAAAAGGCATAAGATAATAGAAAACAAATATCAAATGGCAGGTATAAATCCTAATTTATCAGTAATTACATTAAATTTAAATGGATTAAATACTCCAATTAAAAGATTAAAAGGCACAGATAGGAAGAATATATAAAAAACATGATCCAACCATATGTGGTCTAAAAGAGACACAATTTAGGCTTAAAGACACAAATAGCTTGAAAATTAAAGGATGAAAAATGATATTCCATGCAAACAGTAACCAAAGGAGAACTGGAGTGGCTATACTAATATCAGGCAAAATAGAATTTAACAAATTTAAAAATTATTACTAGAGACAAAGGATATTTTATAATGATAAAATGATAAATCTTTTAACAAGATATAACAATTATAAAGATATATGTACCTAGCTACAGAGTCCCAAATACACGAAGCAAAACCTGACAGAATTGGAGGGAGAAATAGATAAGTCAACAATAATAGTTGTAAACTTGAATACCCCAATTTGAATACTGGGTAGAACAAGTAGGCAAAAGGATTGAAATACCAAATATGTTTTCCAACCACAATGAAATGAAATTAGAAATTAATAACATAAGGAAATTGAGAAATTAACAAATATGTGGAAATTAAATATTAAATAACATATTTCCAAATAACCAATCAGTCAGAGGAGAAATCACATGTAAATTTGGAAATACTTGAGATGAATAAAAAGAAAACACCATCCTGAAACTTATGGAATGCAGCAATAGCAGTGCTTGAAGGGAAATTTATAGGTACAAATACCTATATTTAAAAAGATGAAAGCCCTCAAAATCAATAATCTAAATTTCTACCTTAAGAAACTAGAAACACAGGATCAAACTAAACTTAAAACAAGCCAACATTAGGAAATAATAAAGATTAGAGTAGAAAAATCAACAAAACCCACTACATACCTGATAGAATTACTGAGACTGATAATACCAAGCATTGGCAGGGATATGAAGTAATTGGAACTCTAACACATTATCGGCAGGACTGCAAAATAATACAGCCACTTTGGAAAACAATTTGCAGTTTCTTATAAATCCCATCAACTCCATTTCTCGGTATTTACCCAATATTCATGCCATTTTTTATACATTGAAACTTGAAATAGGAACATAATAATGTCTTTAAGATAATATCACCAAACAAACTTTTTCTGACAAAACTTTTATTTATTTTAATTCCTGGGAGTCTTAAAAATAAAATTACAAATAGATTGGATTATCCTCATTCCTAAATCTTGTATATAAATACATTTGGGTTAACATAAAATGAATTTTATAATTGTGTGAGTGTTTTATTTTATTATTTTTTAATTATTGCTTATATGTAAGGTCTGAAAACTTTCTCTCCTTGAACTTTTGAGAGGCAGATGTTGGCTATAGGTAGCTCCAGTGACAATATGAACAAATGATTGATCTTTCATTAGAAACCTAAAGTTACAGCTCAAGTTTTCTGGTGTCATTGTGGATTCATTCTCAGATTTTGAACTTCTTTTCCTGTTTTTGTAGATTTGTTGCTTTACCTCTAGCAAAGGCATGTGGCGTTAAAGATACAGTTCGAAAGATTGTACCAAATACTGTCTTAGAGAATTTTTTCAAACATTCCACAAGGCAACCATCACAAGTAAGTACAAATTCTTTGCTTTTGGATTTAAAAATCTTCTTTTTTTAATGGTTCAGTTATCTATGGCTTACCTTGTCTGTGCAAGAAATCTATTTCAGTTGACCAAATGATTTGATTCACTTAGATATTTTTTATTCTATTGACAAATTATTGTTCTGTTGACAGAATCCCAGGTATAAAATAAATTACAAATATATATTATAATATAAAATAACATGTTAATAGTTGAACTATTGTGTTCAACTATAGCAATTAGCACTAACAATCAGTGCTATGATTTGAGTATAAGGATCAAAATTTTACTTTTAATGGTAAGATATATACAAAATATACCGATGAAGAAAGATCATTATTAGAGCATAGAAGCCCATATCTGACACTTTTGATGATGGTGGCCCCATCAAAATACAATACACACATTATGAAACTATTGGGGTCACTTTCATGAGTAGGACTGTTATTCAAGGACTCTTATTTCAACATACTTGGAAATATGCTTTGCCCCCTGGCTACTCTCCAGAGATAAATTTTTTAAGAGAATCAGAGTTCTCTTCACAATATAAAGTGTTTGTCATTAATGTTGTAGTGCACTACATGTTTATATGCCATCAGAAAGGTTTTTAATCTAATAGTTAAAAAATATAGTGTCTAAGTAAGTTTAATGTTCACTCCAATCTCATTATGCTTCCTTAGTTAAAATGACAGAACAAAACTCCAAAAGTGGCACAACCTCTATGATGAATATAGACATCTATCACTAGTAATTTTTTAAATTGAGTATATTCTTACGCAGTTTTAGGAGAGATTTTTGAGGGTCCTGAACTCTATTTGCTGCATTAAGTTGCGTGCACTATGACTATTGCTCTGTTGTTCTGGTGGACTCTCTGTACCTGAAAGCACGTTGGAGTTTGACTGCCCAGCCTAGCATACAACATAGTGTCCGGGATTGTCATGGCTAGCCAGAGCTGTCTCTAGCTTGTTCTGCCCTCAGCTTCTGCATTTGACTGCTTCTTAAAAACGGGAACAGTTTGACAGACCATCTTCACGTGCTTTTTATTTCTATGTGCTTTGCATGACTACAGTCATTCACCTAAATACTTTCATTAGCACTGGTGATGATAATGCCTGTGCATCATTTTACATGTTTTAGAAGAGAAATTAGTTAGCTGTGTTTATGACAAAATGAAGCTCTTTCAGGGAGTCCTTATTATCCTTCTCTGTTTGGGGATAACTAATGTCGGTAATACCTTGTATAAAATTTGAAGAATAGTACTATACTATCAGTTATTTGCTATATTTGCTGTAGCCAAGGGCTTCAAGTCAGCTTTTCAAGTATTTAAAATGACCTAGAAAATTTGATCCTTATCAAGTTTCCCTGCTATGGAGAGAAAATGGCCATGTGACAATTAAAGGAAAACTGAGAAAAATTGAAAGAGATTTAGAGGGTGAGTAATCTTTCTTCATGACTAAGAAGAGGAAACTAAGGCCCAACGAGGGAGAATGGTTGTCATGCAGCTCATTAGTGACTGAATTAAAAGCTGCAACCTGGCCCATACTTCCAGTCCAGAACTCTTTCTACTATTACTCCAGTGACTTCTTTATTTGTAAATAGAATGTTAAAAATAATTTTTAAAGACTGGAGCTATGTTTGTAGTAATTGCTATAACTCAGCTGACATTATGATATGGCTTAATGTAGACATAACTTGGACATTTGCATCCAGTAAGAGAAAAAAATGTTATACATCACCCCCAAAGTATTAGAAAGCTTTATCTACTGAACCCAGAAGGTGAAGGAAAATAATTAAGATTCCTAAATTATATTGTTCTTGGATTACAAAATTGAGGCATCATTTGTATAGCAGATCAAGATAACAAGTTGGCAAGTAAAATAAAAGTACTAGAACTTAGGAAGATAGAATATAATAGAGGAGGACAAAGGTCATGACCTAATAGTAATTTCTGATGTGGAAACAAACTCATGTCACAATAGTGCCAACATTAACTTGGCCAATGTCATACAGGTAGCATTTTGCTTAATTTATGGCTGAGGTAATAAGACATATTGCTGGGTGGATAAAAAAAAGTTTTGTTAATTCAAGTTATGGGTATCACCATTAAAAGTAAGTATTTGAAACCTATAATGGCAGAACACTGTGTTGATAATACATGTAGATAACACCTGGCTTTATTAAAACAATTGAGTACACAGATCCCAGGATGCTTCTTCACTTGCTGTCGATTACACTATTAAAAACAAAAACATTTCAATGTATACCATATTGAGTATGGGCTGGTTAGCACAGAAGGGCTTAACATGGTATTGATTAGGCTGTTCACTTAGATCTCCAATGTCTAGCACAATGTCTGAAAGAAGTAGGTACCAATTAATAGCTGCCAACTCAATCTCTGCAAAAAACAAAACAAAATAAACAACAACAGCAGGTGAACCCTTGGCCTATAAAAGAACAAGTATTTGGGAAATTTCTAAGAAACTGGGTATAATACGGGTTATGTCCTGTTTTGGTTTTGGTTTTCTTTTGCTCTCTTCAGATTAAGTAATAAGCTAGCAGTTTAGCAGGTATGTAGAAGCCACCACTAGTCCTTTGCCAATCTTCAGTGTGGTAGCTTCTGTATGAATTTTATCTGCTATTACACTGTGTCCCCCAAACAATTTCATGAACTACATAAGACAGCAGAAGCTATCTGGCTAACACAAACTGTTGGGTGTCCAGACATCTGGCCCACAGGCAGGCTTTGTTTGGCCCTCACAATATTCATCCATGATTGATTTAAATTTACTTTGCGGTATTGGTCAATATTTAAGAAATGTAGTGATTTACCTCAGAATATAGGATTTGCATGTTTTCTCTGGAAGTGCCAGCCAGGGCGTGGTCACAGCTGGCTTTCGGGAGTACAATACATGCCTTTCTGCCAGCTGCACCCATAGAGCTCCTGCTTATTTCCTCAGTGCTAAAGCTCAGGGTCAGTCCTATGCAATTTTATTTTTCTCATAATAGCATTAAGAGGAAATTAAATAATTTCTTGTACTCACATTGGAAAATGAAAGATTAAGAGGGCTTGGGGGCTGGGGGCAGTGGCTCACACCTGTAATCCTAGCACTCTGGGAAGCCGAGGTGGGCAGATCCTTTGAGTTCAGGAGTTTGAGAACAGCCTGACCAAGAGCGAGACCCCCGTCGCTACCATAAAATAGAAAAAATTAGCCGGGCATGGTGGCGCATGCCTATAGTCCCAGCCACTCAAGAGGTTGAGACAGAAGGATTGCTTAAGCCCAGGAGTTTGAGGTTGCTGTGAGCTAGACTGATGCCATGGCACTCTAGCAGGAGCAACAGAGTGAGACTCTGTCTCAAAAAACTAACTAAATAAATAAAAATAAAGAGGGCTTGTATTTTTCAAGAGCATATTCTTTCAGATGTGGAGAGAGTTGCCATAGGTTCATAGGTTTAACGTTCAGAACTTGCTTGTGTTAAAATCCCACAATGAAACAGACCTGGTCCACTTGGTCATTTATGTTTCTTGTCTGGCTTTCACAGAACTTCGAATTTGTCACCTTTGAACTAATCCATTATCTGTATAATTTCCAACTTGAAATCGTATACAACTTCTGCTTCCCAAAGGAGAAGCAACCATCATTATAATATGTTGCAATCATTATTTTCATGATTGGAATTATTTTGCATTAGTTTGAAAGGCTCTACATTTGATTAATGTGAAAGTAGATAACCAACACCTGTTCAAGGCTTTCCTGAATTATCTTCTGCAGCTCTTAGAAAGAGCATGTGAAATACCAGAAGGTGCCCTAGCCTAAGTTCTGGTATACACTTTACTACTAATTTTAGGTCTTAGACAAGTCACTAAAATTCTCAGGGTTTCAGTTTCTGCATAGGAAAAATGAAGAGATTGGATTTAATTGATGTCTTGACTATACTATTCTACCTGGCACCTAGAAGGTCCTAAATAAATTTTAGCTGAATGAATGAGCTCACACATGCAACTTGAACTTGTGGGTTGCTACCAATCTATAAAGAATTAATATTTCTCAGTAACTCAGAAAGCTGGGATAGTAACATTCTCTCTTTTTCTTTGGCATGTGTGTTTGAGAGAGATTCCATAAGTAAAAAGGTAAATTTCCTGGCTCAAGATCTCTTGGTAAAATTTCTCACATCCCACCTACACAGCTCTTGTAACCCAATCTCACTGTCTCTTGACTGCCTGCCAGCCGGCCTGCCTCTGTTCTTTGACACTCATGTGTTTGTTTCATCTTTTTTCAGACTGATATTTATGGACTGGCAAAGAAGTGTAACCTGACGGAGCGCCAGGTTGAAAGGTGGTTGAGGAGTCGGCGGAATCAAGACAAGCCTTGCAGGATGAAGAAATTCCAGGAAGCTTGGTGAGGATAGTCAAAGCTTTTGAAATGCTGCCTTTTTATCTGGAGTACAGTGGTCATCACAGAGAGTACTACCATAGAGCACAGGAAAGGTTCAAACCCAGCTCTGCCACTCCCCGATAGGTGTTTTAGGCTAGTCACTCATTTGCCTTCTGAGCTTCCATTCCCTCCTCTATAAAACAGGCAAGCTATGAACTCTCTGAGATGAACAGGAGATACTATGTACTTTGCCTGAAGTCCAGAAAAATCATAAAGACATCTTAACTGGTGTTTCTCTTTTCTAGGGTCTAGGTTGGCCCTAGGTCACAAGACTTTATCACCTGTTTCCAGTTCTTCTCACTGTAAGAGCAGAGAATGTCTGAGAGAATGTCTGTGTTCTCCTCGTGGAAGATGAACTGAGAAGGCCACTTTCTGTCTGGCCTGGCTCATGGTCCCAGCCCTGCCCATGGGCTGCACAGCCCATCTCTCTTGGTTTCCCAGGAGGCTTAAGAGGAGTGTCAGGGAGGGTCTTGCCAGAGCTGGCTCTTTGAACACATTCTGAGGGAAGGAGGCAGCATTGGATATATTTTGGTTTCGTTTGAGTTCTGCTCCCCCCTCCTGCCCCCGCCCTGCCCCACCCCATAGAATATTGTAGTTCTCTAGTCACTCTGTTGGTGGTGGACACTGACCCCTGTGCAAAAAAGGAGAACCAGCTTATTGCTCTTACTTTGTTTCCCCTTCTTTATATCCAGATGAACATGTCTCGGTTGGGTTGTGTTCAGTGCCACATTCTACACACTAGCAGTATTTTCTCCTGCCTGTTTCTTAAAGCCCTCACATTTCCTCATGGCTTCCACCAGGTGTTTTTGTTCTAATGGTGAAATTAATAGGAAGCTAATGTAAGACTCTCAAATAAGTGAACAGAAGCTGTGGGGGGCTAAGCTTTGATGTCTTCTTTAGTTTACCTATACATTCCTGAGTCCCATAATCCAACTGTGACATGGGTGATGCTTAGAGGGACAAACCAATTCTTCAGGATGGTTCAGACACTCACTTCTCATCACAGGCTTCCATTGCCTTTCCCACAGTGGCTCCAAATGTATGGCCTTGTTTGTTTTCTAACCAGCTTCTTTCTGATTTTTAGCTCTTGAAAGGTTGGTAAATATTGTGTTGCTGCTGATGTTAGCTCGGCACAGTTATATCTCTCTAACCCGTCATCACAACAGAGTACCCAATGAATCTGGTCTGACATAACATCTTCCTTTTTTCCTGCTCTCATTTTTCACAAATTTATTATAAGCAGATAACTGTTAAAAGTTATTATGGACTACACAAACAGACTAAAACAAAATGCCAAACTGTTTAGTTGTATAGGGACTGTGCTTTATTCTATCAGGCCTGGGATATGCTACAGAAATCGTAGACTGAGGTGCATAGCCCCAGGCACTTTGAAAATCTCTGCAAACTTATTCCCCAACACCAGGCTCTTAAAAGGCTCTCCAGCAGGCAGAATTTCCTCTATAATGTGAGGATGGATTAGCCTCTAACCATCCTGAGCTCAGTGTATTGTTTCCTTTGTTACTTTACTTAATGATGACCCATATGTCCTGTTCCACAGCATTCAGGATTTTAGTACATGGTGCGTCCTTTTTTAAAAAAATAAAATCAAATTCCATATTAGCCAACCACTTTTCTCCATAAAATACACATTTTCATCTAGCAGTAAGAAGTAAACTCCCAAGTGCTTGAGGTGTACAGTCAGGAGGACTCCCCACTGCAGGAGGGAAGGGTCCCCTTGGCTGGGTGGACGGTGGTGGTGGCCTTGCCCTCACCTCCTCACCTGACCTGTACAGGCCCATTGCCTGTTCCATCTGGCCTCCCCCACCATAAAGCCCCATCTCTAGCCCCATCAGCTTCTCTCTGGCATAAGTTCACTCTGCCAAATTCCTCCCTGACTTCACCCTACAGTCCCATCTTTCACCATTACTCTTAATTTCTGAATTGGTTTCCAGCTTTTTTTTATTTTCCCACAATTATGTTTATCTCAGCCTTTCCTTGACAAAAAGGAAAGTTTACCATCTTAGGTTCATTTGAAGCAAGTAAAATGGCATCGACAAGTATGTCATCATTCACTTTATTATTAGTGAAGTGCAGCATTTTCAAACTGCCCAGGAACCCTTGTTCTCTTTAAAAACTCTTGAAGATCCCAAAGAACATTTATGTGTGTTATACCTATTGATATTTAATGTATTAGAAGTTAAAACTGAGGCATTTAGACCAGGTATGGTGGCTCACACCTGTAATCCCAGCACTTTGGGAGGTCACTTTAGTCTGGGAGGATCACTTTAGTCCAGGAGTTCAAGACCAGCCTGGGCAACACAGCAAGACCTCGTTTCTACAAAAAATACAAAAATTAGCCATATGTGGTGGCGTTTGCTTATAGTCGCAGCTACTCGGGAGGTTGAGGCAGGAGGATCACTTGAGCCCAGAAGTTTGAGGTTACAGTGAACTATGATGACATCATTGTACTCTCGCCTGGGCGACAGAGCTAGACCCTGTCTCAAAAGAAAAAAACCAACAAGACACTGAGACATTTATAAAACGTGAGACTACACAAGCACACATTTCATCAGAGCAATTTCATTCAGAGCAATGCTGTGATCACATATCAATGTAATCTTGCTTGTGAGACAATGAGAGGGAAAAGGCAAATAACGTTATAATTCTAATTTTTTTTTTCTTTAAGACAGAGTCTTACTCTGTTTCCTGTGCCATGGTGTCAGCCTAGCTCACAGCTACCTCAAACTCCTGGGCTCAGTTGATCCTCCTGCCTCAGCCTCCTGAGTATCTGGGACTACAGGCATGCACCACCATGCCCAGCTAATTTTTTCTATATATATTTTTAGTTGTCCAGCTAATTTCTTTCTATTTTTTAGTAGAGATGAGCCTCACTCTTTCTCAGGCTGGTCTCGAACTCCTGATCTCAAACCATCTGCCCGCCTCAGCCTCCCAGAGTGCTAGGATTACAGGTGTGAGCCACTGTACCCAGCCCAAATAATGTTTTAATATTATTATGAAAATATTCTGACCTCAGGGATCCCTGGCACACACTTTGAGAATCCTTGGCATAGCGTAATGAAGTCTGAGTAGAACTAGTTGGTCATGAAAAATGTGAAACTTGGGTTGTACTTTGGCATCTGATGGTTACCATACAATGTTGGCTAAATTTTGTGACCTCTCTTAGCCTCAGTTTCCTCTAGTATTTATCTTATCTGCTTTTTAGGGTTGTGAGAATCAAAAAACAGTCTGTAAGACGGGACTAATTATATTACTGGCTTCATAATCTTGTTAGAAAGATTAAAATGTGCATAATGCGTGCTTAGTTAGCACAGTGCCTGGCCCAGAGTCAAGAAGTCACTACCAGCCTAGAATCTTGTACCCTGTAAAACTGAATTTTTTATACAAAGGAGAAATAAAGACCTTCTCAGATAAGCAAAGACTGAGGGAATGCATCAAGACAATACCTACCCTCCACGAAGTACACAGAACAGTGTTATATACAGATTAGCACAATAAACACTCACCAGTGTAGCATCATCCAAAAGCTAAAAGTAAAAGGCCAGATACTTTTGACAATGGCTCAACAGAGAAAACAAAGCAACAAAATTCAACTCAACAGGATGAACAGAAATCTGCTCCACTTATCAATTCTTTCCATAAATGTGAATGGCTTGAATTACCCACTAAAGAGACATAGGCTGGCCAAATGGATAAATAAACATAAGCCAAGTGTCTGCTGTCTTCAAGAAATACATCTAACCCACAAGGATGCATTCAGACTCAAGGTAAATGGATGGAAAACAATATTCCATGCAAACAGAAGCAAAAAGGAAGCTGGTGTAGCAGTTCTAATTTTAGATAACTTGTCTTTAAGTCAACAAAAGTAATGAAAGACGAAGAGGGTCACTATATAATGGTGGAGCACACAATTCAACAAGTAGCCGTAAAAATTCTACATATTTATCCACCTAACTCAGGTGCACCGAGATTCATAAAGCAAATCCTATTTGATCTAAAGAAAATGATAAACAGCAACACTATAATAGCCAGTGACTTCAACACCCCTCTGACAGAACAAGACAGATCCTCCAAATCATAAATAAACAAAGAAACAATGGATTTAAACTGAACTCTAGACCAAATGGCCCTGACTGAAAGTTACAGAACATTCTACACAAAACCACTGAATATACATTTTTCTAATCAGCTCATGGGACATTCTCTAAGATTGACCATATCCTAGACCACAAAGCATGTCTCAACAAATTTAAAATAATAGAAATTCTATCATGCATCTTCTCAGACCATAGTGGAATAGAATTAGAAACCAACTCCAACAGAAACTCTCATCTCTATACAAAGTCATGGAAACTAAACAACCTTCTGCTGATGATCATTGTGTTAAGGAGGAAATTAAGATGGAAATCAAAAAAATTTTTTGAACTAAATGATAAAAGAGACATAAGTTATCAAAATCTGCGGGACACAGCTAAAGCAGTCCTGAGAGAAAAATTTATATCCACAAATGCCTACATCCAAAAGACAGAAAGATCACAAATCAACAATCTAATGAATTGTCTCAAAGAACTGGAAAAGGATTAGCAAACCAACCCTAAACCCAGCAGAAGAAAAGAAATAACAAAGATCAGAGCAAAGCTAAATGAAATCAATAACAAAAAACTATATGGAAGTTTAATAAAATAAAAAGTTGGTTCTTTGAAAAAATAAAATTGACACACCTCTGGCTAGATTAACAAGAAGCAGAGGAGACTCTAATAAGCCCACATAGGAATGAATAAAGGAGAAATTATAACTGATACCATGGAAATACAAAATATCATCTATGAATACTATAAAAACCTCTATGCACATAACTTGAAAATGTGGAGGAAACAGACAAATTCTTAGAAACACGCAGCCTCCCTAGACTCAGTCAGGAAGAAACAGAATTCCTGAACAAACCAAACTGAAATTGAAGCAGCAATAAAAAACCTTTCTAAGAAGAGAAGTCCTGGACCAGATGGTTTCACACTCGAATTTTACCACACCCACAATGAAGAACTGGTGCCTATCCTGCAGAAATTATTCCATAACATCAAGAAGGAAGGAATTCTTCCCAACATGTTTTATGAAGCCAACATCACCTTGATACCAAAACCAGGAAAGGATGCAACAAAAAAAGAACAGACCAATATCCCTCATGAATATACATGCAAAAATTCTCAAAAAAATCCTAGCAAACCAATTTAGGTGCTTTTGAAAAAAATAATTGATCATGACCAAGTGGGCTTCATCCCAGAAATGTAAGGATGGTTCAACATATGCAAATCTGTAAATGTAATTCACCACATAAATAGAAGCAGAAACAAAGACCATAGGATCCTCTCAATAGATGCAGAAAAAGCATTTGACAAAATTCAGCACCCTTTTATGATAAGAATATTTGACAAAATAGGCATAGATGGTACTTAACTAAAAATTATAAAAGCCACATATGACAAACCCACAGCCAACATCATGCTGAATGGAGAAAAATTGAAAGCATTTCCACTTTAAACTGGAACCAGATAAGATTGCCCTCTGTCACCACTTCTATTCAACATAGTTCTGGAAATCCTAACCAGAGTAATCAGACAAGAGAAGGAAATCAAAGGCATCCAAATGGGGGCAGAAGAGGTCAAACTATTGCTCTTTGCTGATGATATGATCTTATATCTAGAAAGCCCCAAAGGTTCTGCCATGAGACTACTGGAATTGAGAAATAAATTCAGCAAAGTCTCAGGTTACAAAATAAATGTATGGAAACCAGTAGCATTCCTATACTCCAACAACAGTCAAACTGATAACCAAATCAAAGACTCAATACCCTTCATAATAGCAACAAAGAAAATAAAATACCTAGGAATATATTTAACTAAGAAGGTGAAAGACCTCTACAGGGCCTACAGGGAGAACTATGAAACACTGAGAAAGGAAATAGCAGAGGACATAATTAGGTGAAAAACCATACCATGCATATGGGTTGGCAGAATCAACGTTGTTAAAATGTCTATACTACCCAAAGTGATCTACAGATTCAATGCAATCCCTTTTAAAATACCAACATCAATTTTCTTAGATCTAGAAACATTAATTCTACGCTTCTTATGAAACCAGAGAAGACCTTGTATAGGAAAAGCAATCTTAAGCAAAAAGAACAAATTCGGAGACATCAATTTACCAGACTTCAAGCTATACTACAAGGCTATAGTAACTAAAACATCATGGTACTGGCACAAGAACAGAAACATAGACTAACAGAACAGAACTGAGAACCCAAATATAAAACCATCCTCATATAGCCATCTAATCTTTGACAAAGCAGACAATAACATACACTGGGGAGAAGAATCCTTATTCAATAAATTCTGCTGGGAAAATTGGATAGCCACACATAGAGGACTGAAATAGGTTCCTCACCTCTCAGAAAAATCACCTTATGGTGGATAACAGACTTAAATCTAAGGCAAGAACCTATAAGAATTGTAGAAGAAAATGCTGGAAAAACATTTTTGTTCACAAAGGAACAAAAGACATTCTATAAAAAAGACATCTCCACTAGAATGTTTATAGCAGCACAATTGCAAAGATGCGGAAACAACCCAAGTGCCCATCAATACATGAGTGGATTAATAAAATGTGGTATATGTATACCATGGAGTTCTATTCAGCCACAAAAACAATGGTGATCTAGCACCTCTTGTATTATCCTGGATAGAGCTGGAGCCCATTATACTAAGTGAAGTATCAAAACAATGGAAAAACAAGTACCACATGTACTCACCATCCAATTGATATTAACTGTCAACACTTAAGTGCATATACAGTAGTAACATTCATCAGGTTTTGGGCAGGTGGGAATGAAGAGGAGGGAATGGATATATTCACACCTAATGGGTGCAGTGCACACCATCTGGGGCATGGACACACTTGAAGCTCTGACTTAAGTTGGGCAAAAGCAATATATGTAACCTAAACATTTGTACCCCTGTAATATGCTGAAATTTAAAAAAATGAATATATATTCTGTTGGGGTTAAAAAAATATTGGTCCTAAAGACACAATTACATTTTTAATTCTTAAAGAAAAAAAAGCAATAAATGTTTGAGAAATAAATAAAATGAGATGTATTACCTAGACTTTTGGCTTCATTTGTGGGCTGGCTGGCCTTCTTATGTCCTGTTTTTTATGGTTCTTGTTTGGATAAAATAATTGAGGGAGTCAAGGAAATACTCTCTGCAAATAAAACAAGTGTGATCAGGACTTAACTTTGATTTTGTAAAATGCCCTTTGGGTAGTTTTATGGTTCAATTTCCTGAGTACGGAACCCTACTTTTTTTCCTATCAAAATGAGCCATGAAGAAAGACTGTCATCAGCGTAGAGGTCATGGTAATGTTCGGGAAACACTAGCTGATGCCGAGTCCAGAGACCTGCACTTCAAACCCCAGCCTTACTACTTCTTAGCTACATGAGCTGGGGAAGTGGCCTCACCTCTGTGAGTCTGATTTTTCATTTACAAAATAGGTATATGTCTATGTTCCTATTTCCTACTATCTTACAGGTATGTTGAAGAAAGTATCATAAGGCCATATACAAATATAAGGAACAAATTTTATTTTAATATTGTTATTATTCCTTCAGCAATCATTAGATAAAATACATGTAATTTAAGAAAAAAGCTTTTTATTTCAGAAAGTTGCATTTATAATAGTAGAAAGACTGCATAATGAACTATGCGCTTTTGCCAACCACCAACTTTGACACTGATCAACTGAAGGCCAATCTTTTCTCATCTGTACCCCACCTACTTGTCTCCCCCTTCACAGATGATTTTTGAAACAATATCAGACATTGTATGATTTTATTTGTAAGTATTTTAGTATGTATTTCTAAAAGATAAGAACTCTTTATTGTAAACATGATTGCAATATCAGCATCAGAACTAAGAAATTTTTACTTAATAACAGTAAATATTCAGTGATTAGATTTCCTTGATTATCTCATAATATTCTGTACAGTTTGTTTATTTGGTCAGGATCAAAATAAGATCCATATGTTACAATTGGTCAATATATCTTTAAAGTCTCTTAATCTATAGATCTTTCTCCATACATGAGAAAAATCTTTTCTTTCAAAATCTGCTTTTAGGAGAAAAGACTAAGATCTGGCCACATAGAAACTTTTTAACTGAGAATTAAATGGGGATAAAATAAGGGATTAGACTAATTAGATTCCTTCTTGTATGGTATAATACTAATAATACTAATATCAAACCATTGTTTATTTATTTTTATTTATTTTTATTTTTTATTTCAGCATATTATGGGGGTACAGATATTAAGGTTTCAATAAATGCCCATTAAATCATTGTTTATTGTGTGTCTGGAACTGGGCTAGTCATAATAATAATAATAATAATAATAATAATGGCTATCATTTATTATTGCTAACTTCATACTAGAGCTATGATTAATACTTTCACAAATTATCTTCAATTCTTTTTTTACTTTTTGAGGTAAATATTGTTACTCTGTCTTATAGATGAAGGTAAGTCTTCTTGAGGTTAAATAATTTACCTAAGCTTGCAGCCATCTAATAAATGGCAGAGTCGGCATACGTACTTGGGTTTGTCTGACTCCGGAGTGTGTGCTTTCCAAACTCCGCCATACCAAAGCCTTTTCTCCTCAAATGTCAATCACCTTTACAAGGGAGTAAAGAACTTTCTTTCTTTTGGCAGCTGGCGATTTACATTTTACCTAATGATAACTGTCGCTGGAGTTGCATTTCTTTATGATGTAAGTTATCTTTTGATATCTTTGATGGGGATTTGTCTTTAGTCCTTAAAATTCTTGCATGTGAATTCCTTTAGAATATAATACTTTCAATAAGATAATGTATTTCAGAGATTTCTCTCAAATATTGCTATAGCTAGCTCAAGATATTTTTATTGCTGCAGAAGCAATAATATAATTGGTTCATAAATAATTTTGTTAGTAGGTTCATTTGTTTGGAACAGTTTTCTCTAGGAGATAGCACTATATACTCATCTCAGATTCACTAGAAGTAGTGAAGTTCACAGGATGTTATGAAGGAGCACCTAGAAATACCTACAGAGGGAGAAATATGTACAACAAGAGTGCATCTTCGCCTCCTATAAGTAACATCAGGAAGAGCTTAGGTTTTCTGCTAAAATCAGCCTTCAGCTCTGACAGACTTATTGCATCTCTCTTGGCTCCTCATTTTTTCAGAAACCTTGGGTATATGACCTAATGGAGGTTTGGAATGGCTATCCCAAACAGGTAAGTCCCTCTGACGTTGTTCCTCCCCCTTTTACTTCAACACCCAGGCCCTTCAAATTGTCCCCTTAGTTAGGTCTTGGTCCCCTGCTACTGTTTATCCACTGCTGTGTCGTCCTCTGGTGCTTTTCTGCCTGAGTTTCCTCATCCTTATTGACCCTCACTTATCTCATTCCTTTAGTTTGTTTATAGTTAATATAACTAACATATTTGGGTTTAAATCTACAATATTATGTATTTTTTTTGTACCACTGGATGCATTTCCTTTTATATTCTCTTCTTGCTTTTCTAATAGGACAGTGATATTTAAAAAAATATTATTCTATTTCTTCCCTTATATTGACTTTTCAGTTATGCATACTTTTGTTCTTTATTAGTTATCCTAGAGGTTACTATTTACATACTTGATTTATTACAGTCTAATACAAATTAGCGCTGTTACCTTTTTCCAGTTCTTGAAAGATCATTAGAATATACCATATATCTCCTCTATCAAATATTAATATTTAAAACCTTACATGTCATTGCTATTATTGTTTTATAAATTAATCAAGTTACCCTTTCCATGCTCTTCCTCACTTCCTGCATTTTTGTGCTTCTATCTGGGATGATTATCATTCTGGCTAAAGAAGCCCCTGTGGTATTTTTTTTTTTTTTTATGGTGGGTCTACCAGATTTTGTCTGAAAATGTTATCATATTGCCTTTGTTTTTGAAGGGATAGTTTTTCTGGGTATGGAATTCTAGATTAACAGTAATTTCCCTTTAGCACTTTTAAAGATGTTATTCCATTGTTTTCTGGATCCCATCAGCTTTTTTGTTTAGTATTTTTTTTTATTTCAGCATATTATGGGGGTACAAATGTTTAGGTTACATATATTGCCCTTGTTCCCCCCAAGTCAGAACTTCAAGTGTGTCCATCCCCCAGATGGTACACATTGCACTCATTATGTATGTATACACCCATCTCCTCCTCCCCCTTCCCATCTTCCCAATACCCAATGAATGTTATTCCTATATGTGCACTTAGGTGTTGATCAGTTAAAACCAGTTTGATGGTGAGTACATGTGGTGCTTATTTTTCCATTCTTGGGATACTTCACTTAATAGAATGGGTTCTAGCTCTATCCAGGAAAATACAAGAGATGCTAGATCACTATTGTTTCTTGTAGCTGACTAGTACTCCATGGTATACATATACCATATTTTACCTATCAGCTTGTTTAAGAATTCAGCTATTGCTTCTATGTTTGCTTCTTTGAACATAGTCTTTTTTCCCTGACTGCTTTTAGTATTTTATCTTATCTTTCTTTGAGCAGTTTTATTATGCTACACATAAATATAGTTATTTTTAATTTATCCTGCTTATTACATCCATAGTACATCTTGACTCTGTGGCTTGATGTCTTCAGTCTGTTTCAAACAGATATTCTTTTTTGTTTTTTATTCATATATTTTTAGTTCTCAATAGAACGGTCAGTCTTATACAGGCATGTTTGTCATAAAAGAAAGCAGAAAGTCTGTCTCGTTCTTTTATAGTCTTATCAAGAATGATAAGTTGACCAGAAACAAATACATTAGTCCTTTTAATATGTTAGTCTTAGTATTAAGGAGTCAAACGTTAGATTGTGAGGGACCTGGGCGTTATCTAGGCCAAGCCCTGATCATGTCATCTTCCAACTCCAATGTACTCTTATCTTCTCAAATGTATTGGTTATGTATTAGTAACCCGCAACACTTAGTGCCCTAGGGCAACTTTCTATTTGCTCGTGACTTGGGCTGTCAATTTGGGCTAGGCGCAGTTAAGCAGTTCTTCTGTTCCATGTGGTGTCAGCTAAGTTCATTCATGCATTTTCAGACAGTTGGGAAGCTAGATATAGGAATTTCATTCTTTTATTCAGAAGACTTTTTTCATTCTTTTATTCAGAAGTCCCATTTGAGAATGGGCTAATTCTGAACACCAGCCTGTCACCAGAAAAGAGTTTTAGATATCAGATTTTGAGTAGCATTCAAGAACCATTAAACAAGGTAAATCATGGGACCAGCAGAACAGGCTTCTTATTGTCCTTAAGTAAAGATTTGAAAAAAAATTTTAATGTAACTCCTAATAAACTAAAATAAGGCAATTACACCTGCAGCAATTTTATGAACTTTGTAAACAGAACATTTAACTTGCTTTTGGAATACTTGTCTATGCTTTTAAAAATAAAATGCCTTGAAATATGATCTCTAATTCCTTTGTGGCAGTTGAAATATAAATCATTGTTAATTTATGGAATTTTATGGAATATAAATAGGTATAAACTGTAGATTTTAGTGCATTAAAATGAATTGCTTATATGGTAACATTTAAAGTCATGAATACTCTTCTCTTCCTCAGCCCCTGCTGCCATCCCAGTACTGGTACTACATTTTAGAAATGGGTTTTTATTGTTCTCTGTTGTTTAGCCTTGGCACTGATATCAAGAGGAAGGTAAGTGTCTTATTTACAAAGCTACTTTATCAATTTCTTCAAAATTTTTGTCCTCCTCCCCCAAATTCTAATTTTAAATTATATTTTTATGTATATTTTGTTTCAGTTCATTGATTTTTTGCTTTTTTTAGCACATACAATAGTGCAAATTATGCTCATATTTTGGTGCCTTGGTAAATATTTGTAGTGAAACATTATAGAAACTTTATCTATGAAGCTCCACACCTGTTCAATAAGAACAGAAATCTTTACATGTTGTCTGTTCCTTTTGATTTGGGAGTTTAATGTCCATCAAGGCAAAAAAGAAAAATGTCTCAGTTGATTACAAAACTACCTTTTATAAAACTTTTCAATGTTTTCAAAGACTTTGAGAACATTTCTTCCTTAATTCATCAAATATCGTTATAGGGAAACCTTGCTTCAGGTATTACTAGCTGTGCTATATTTGCAGGGAAACTGAGTCATAGGCAGGCTAACTGCCACCTCCGAGGTCACAAAGTGAGGCATTTTAGGAACTATTAGGTTGTTACTGATTTCCAGTTGCTAGTCCAGCAAATCATGTTAGACCCTAAAGGCAGGCAAAATTTTGTCGTATATGTTAACAATCAAAAGACAAACACTCTAGCATATACTTCATAAGCTACACCCTAGGCAAAAGGCTGGTTTGTAGCAAAATTTATATGATAAATAAAATTAAGTCCAATATTTGATAAACCAAGTTGGTGTAATTAAATGATGTTTGAGTTGAGTGATGATGGTCCTTAACCATCACTAAGGGGCATACTGTGGTCAACTGGACAGCTTAAAACATATGGATTCTAAGTATAAGAACATACTGTGAATAAATCTGATAGAAATGATCTCCATTTCCATACAACTCAATAATATCTATAGATTAACTGTTACTAACTTCAGGTTTGGAATATATCAAATTTTAATTGATTGACTTATTTTCTCAAGGGATAGAATTGAAAATAATCATTTTTTAGAAAGTCTTCATAGCTAGATAGGTTGATCCTGTATTTCTCCCACCTTTGATTTTGCTGTAGTTGACTTCCCTTTTAGTATTTACAGGTGCATCGAGCACCTTTTCAAAAATTAAATGTAAAAATTATAAAGACGTATCTTTAGAAATATAAAATTTGGGGTAGGTCGCTAAAGCACAGGCTCTTGAGTCAGACTGCTTGGGTTTGAGGCCCTGGCTTCCCCACTCACTGACATCTTGGGCTAGTTGGTTAAAATTCCTAAACTTGGCTTCCTCATCTAGAAAATGGAGCTAAAAATCATTCCTATCTTCTCTAGTTGTTGTGAGGGTTAAGTAAATTTATCTGTATAAAACACTTCCTGCTATATAATAGGTGCTTAATGATATTGGTATTGTATTTATTGTTTTAGTTTGGCTGCAAGAAAACTGGAATCTTTAAGTTTTTTTAAAAAAATATTTTCATTGAGGTATCCATATACCACATAATTCAGCTATTTAAAGTGTATAATTCAGTGGTTTTTAATATATTCACAGAATTGTACAATTATCACCACAATCAATTTTAGAACATTTTGTCACCACAAAAAGAAACTCTGTACCCTTTAGGAGTTACTTCCCATTTCTCCCAACTTCCCAGCCCCTGGCAACCACTAGTCTACTTTGTCTCTATGGATGTGACTTTTCTGGATATTGCATATCAATAGAATCATACAATATGTTGTAGCCTTTTGTGTCTGGCTGCTTTCACTTAGCATGATGTTTTCAAGGTTCAGCCACATGTTGTTGTAACATCTATAGTACTTGATTCCTTTTATTGCTGAATAACAGTCCATTGTATGGATAGACCCCATTTTCTTTATTCTTGTATCAGTTGATGGACATTTGGGTTGTTTCCTCCATGTTGTTATTATGAGTAATCCTACGAATATTCATATATAAGTTTTTATATGAATGTATGTTTCATTTCATCTAGAAGTATAATTGTTGGGCCATATGATAACTCTGTTTAACCTTTTGAGGAACTGCCAGACTGTTTATTAAAGCAGCTACCATTTTACATTTCTACAAGCAGTGGATAAGGGTTCCAGTCTCTCCACATCCTTCCCAGCACTTGTTATTGGTAGTCTTTTTTTTATCATAGCCATCCTAGTGGGTGTGAAGTGGTATCTCATTGTGGTTTTGGTTTGTATTTTCCTGATGGCTAATGATGCTGAGCATCTTTTCACATGATAATCAGTTATTTTTATATCTTTGCAGAAAACCTTGAAGTTTTTCCACTCAGTGACAGTAGCTTTCCTTAGCCTAGACTTGTAACATATTTATAACAGTCTCATCTGTTACTTATTTCATATGAGTTAACTTACTTAATAGTTGTGTAGTTTTATTACATCTATCTTTTTCTTTCCTTTTTGGAATTAGGCAGGAGATACACAATAAATGTAAATGTCCATGGGAATATGCTTTGTGTATGTGTTATTTGCTGTATATGAGCAAATGTGAGTGTGTGTGTGCATATATTCAGTGTGGGGGAGTGGAAAGAACAACAGATGTTAGGAGTTAGGTGACAGCTATTCAATGCTGTCTCAAAGTTAGATGACTTCATCAATGGTAATAATACTTGTCCTAGCTCCTTCACAAGTATTGTGTTTAAGAATTAAAGCGAACACATTTTATAAATTTCAAAACATGCAGATGTACATTATTGGTATCATTATTACTATTATCTCTTCCAGTGATTGGGAAATAATGGCATTTGCTTAATGGCTTTCATTTTCTCCTCATTATACAGGATTTCCTAGCTCATGTCATCCACCACCTGGCTGCTCTTAGTTTGATGAGCTTCTCTTGGTGTTCTAATTATATTCGCAGTGGGACCCTTGTGATGGTTGTGCACGATGTAGCTGACATTTGGCTGGAGGTAAATGTTTGCCATTAAAAAACTAATGACAATACCATGTCCTGGATTTAACTGCTCACAGAAGGGATTGTCTGTGAGCAACTTAGCAGGGCTCTCTGTCCCGAAAACACCCGAAGTCTGAGAATGTCTCTGGGTTCCCAGATCCTCCAAGATTAAAGAATGAAACCTCTCAGTTTTTATTTTTAATCCTTCTCCATGGTACTAGAGAAATGTTGATTTGTGGGATTCCACTCATGAAAGTCGCATGCAGATGCTAGCTCAGGAAGTAAGATGAACTATTTGAAGAAAGAATGAATTCTTATCCTTTGAAAGGAAAACTTGGATTTATGGCATTAAGGATTCTCAGAGTTGGATGCACCATCCCCTCGCCTAAGCCAGTGCTTGGACACCTACCGTCCCACCCCATCCTCCTGCAGCCTGACCTGTAGCTATAAGGACTGTAAGCCTTTTTAAAAGGCACTGATTTTCTAAGAGAGTAAGAGGGATCAGGATGTTTTCTAAAGCAGGGGAAATTAAAGCAAGGATCTTCCTAATCCCACACCACACAAAATATAAGGAAAAGAGCAACATCAGGGTGTTTACTGGACCCGTGTCTGCTATGCCTTGGCTCCTGTGGACGCCGTGGCAGTGATGGAGTGGTCCCTCTCTGCCAGGTCTCCCGCTGTGATCGAGGGCAACTTGTTTCCCAGCACCACTGAGCTAGTCTTTTAAATATAGTCATTTATAATGAATCCGGGGAAAATGATGCTAACCCATTTCACATTTGGGATTGCCTCTTGAAGGACTAATAATTGAATATAGGTTGATATGGAAGAAATTAAATTTAATAGAATCTTGTTCTTCTAGATTGGGGCTCAGCAAACTCATTGGTAAAGGGCCAGGTAGTAAATCTAGTTTTGTGGGCTGCATACGATCTCTGTCCCATATTCTTCTTCTTCTTTTTTTTTTTAATACCCTTTTAAAATGTGAAAACCATTCTTAAGGGGTGATCAGCTTTAGCCCATGGGCTGGATTGTAATTTGCCAAACCTGATGTAGAAGTAACCAGAAGCCATTTCAAAGCATTTGAAGCCATTTCAAAGCAACTGGCCACTGTTAAATTATTCTGTGTACAGAATTTTGTTCCTATTTTGTATGTAATTGTAATTAGACATGTAACTCTTCTAAAGGTCAGGATTATTATATATGCTTCAGGGAAACAAATGGCGTAGTAAAAGAAGAATTGTGCCAGTTTTCCATGTGGTGCACTCTGAATGCAGTCATCTCTGCTGTAATTACCTCCTTCTCTGATCATACCTCAGTAACGCTGACTGAAATTAAGACCACATTGGCCCTGACTTAAGAATTTCATGTTACTCTGTTGCTTCTAAACCCTCTTGTGCCTTTGGTGTGTGTCCAATGTGAAAACAGCTTCATTGTGTTGTTCAAGGGGAGTTAGATGTTCAGGCTGGGAACAAACACTGGCTTGTCCCCCCCCCCCCAATCCTCAGCCCCCATCATCGGTATGACATGACTCCCTAAGTGACTTTGGCAAATCACTTACTGTTTTATTTTCTATCCCCAGCTGTAACATGAGAAGTCATACATATACCTTAGGGCATATTATTAAGTTTAGCTCATTACTGTTTGAAAATGTTCTGAGAGCCTTAGGTAAAAAACAAGAAAAATGAAATGTCAAACTTAGAGGTCCCTTCATGGGGCAACTATAAGAACAGCTTCATGTTGTTATTGATTGTGAATCATTCTTGATTCACAAGTCATGATCTAACTTGAGGTTCAATGACCAAGACTAGTACCTTCCATCAGCTGGTGGTAGAGACAACATTAAGTAGTGGCAGGGGCCTATTTTTTATATTCTCCCAGGGTACATATCCCACAGCTTCCCTGAATAGTTTGTTTTAGTGTTTGTCCTCTCAGTCAAGTTCTAATTGAAGCCAGACACTGCACAACTTTTGCCCCTTGCTTCCTTGAGATGGAGCCCATTAATCTTTCATATTTTTCAAGACAGTTGGTGGGTCATTTCTTAGCAGTTTCTTTGCAAGGAAATACAGCCTCAATACTTACAACTCTCATTCATAAGCACCCTTTTGCCTTCTTCATGCATCTTCTTGATCCTTTCTAATTTTCCAAATAGTCAAGTTTGGATCCAGAACCCAATACTCTAACAATGTCCTGATTGAAACTTAGCAAAGAAAAAGGTTACTGTCAGGGATTTCATCATTATATAATCCAGAATATGTTGTGTATATGTTTTACCTCACAAATGAGCCTACAGAGGTCCCTCCCGTACCTGTGCACATCCCTGGCTTCCACCCTGGTCAGCCTCCAACCCTTCCAACAGCTGCCTGCTCCATTGCAGCTACTCTGAACTCTAGCCTTTCTCTCCACACCCGTCTCCTGCCCACAGAGCACACCAGCATTCTATGTCAGCAACTGAGTTGTTCCCTATGGGCCCTCTGGCAACACCCCACCCCTGCCTTTGGTCTGGCCACATTCTTACCCCTTGCTAACTGGAAAAGTATGGAAAGTGCTGTATAAACCCTTCCTGGAGGGTAAATGTATTGCCTCTCTTGTTCTAGAAGGACCGTTAGCCTCCAGGGTGATGTAAGTTCTAAATCAGCCCAAGTCTAAGCCATCCTTCCTAGAGGGATGAGCTGTACCCTAACACTCCCCCAATAACTCCTACCCACCTCCTACCCCCAACTCCCACCAGAAACCTCCCCCTTCAGCCTTAGGCTCTTCTGGATAATGCAATAGAGCAGCAGGCCCCAACCTTTTTGGCACCAGGGACTGGTTTCATGGAAGACAATTTTTCCACGGACTCTTGAAGGGGGAATATTCAAGCACATTACATTTATTGTGCAGTCAAACCTTTCTGCTAATGATAATCTGTATTTGCAGCTGTTCCCCACCACTAGCATCACCACCTCAGCTCCACCTCAGATCATCAGGCATTAGATTCTCATAAGGAGCACACAACCTAGATCCCTTACACACGCAGTTTATAATATGGTTCTAGCTCCTATGAGAATCTAATGCCGCCGCTGATCTGACAGGAGGCGGAGCTTACACGGTGATGCAGGTGATGGGGAGTGGCTGTAAATACAGATGAAGCTTCGCTCACTTGCCCACCACTCGCCTCCTGCTGTGTGGCCTGGTTCCTAACAGGCCATGGACTGGTACTGTCCACAGCCCAGGTTTTGGGGAATAGAGAATCCTCGTCCATTAATACTCTATTACCATTCAACAATACTTTCTGTAATTATTTTTATTCAACACAGATAATATGAGCACATAGACGAGCACAAAATACATAGGAAAAATCAAGTGCTTGCAACTTTATTTCAACCAGGACAGGGTCCTGAGAGCTGCCTCCTAACTCCACCTCTCCCACCGTCTAGCTTGAAATATCCACAGTGATTGCAACATTCCCAGCCCAGCCCAGGAGCTCATGCCTGTCCTAACCCTTCTTCAACCCAGCTCTCCTCCCAGTTGAATGGAGATATTAAATAAATGCCCAAATGAAATGTACACTAAAATTGATTATGCTAACTTATGGAGTTTTTGAAAGACAGTAATATTACAGTCGTTTTCATATATCTTTTTTAAACATTATATTATGGAAAATGTCAAGCATATGATAAGATAAAGGGAACAGTGTAATGGACTCATCAGCTTTAATAGTTATCAATATGACCAATCTCGTTTAATCTACTACCCCATCTGTCCCCCCTTCTATCCAGATTGTTTTGAAGCAAATCCTGGAAATCATGTCATTTCATTTACAAATATTTAATTTTTAAAATTTATACTACTATGCATTTATCTGAATGCAGTTTCTTTCTTTGTTTTCAGTCTGCTAAGATGTTTGCTTACGCTGGATGGAGGCAAACTTGTAACATCTTGTTTTTCATCTTCTCTGTCATGTTTTTCATCAGCCGCTTCATTATTTTTCCCTTCTGGTGAGTAGACATGTGCCCTGCCTTTGGTAAGTGCACAGAGTGGCCTTGGAGCACTGTTACTGTCAAACATTGCCCTTTCTTTCCATACGTGGGTCTCCAGCTATTTGTATTAAGTGTACTAGGAGAAAAGAATGTGACAGAACCATTTTTATAAGTAATTAACACATTCTCCAGTGTGGAAAAGGCTTATTACAACAGGAGATGGAAAATGTGTACCCCAGTGGGTAAGTAGCAACTCTTATTCTGTATCTTGTTTCGTGAATATGAATCTTTCTTTGTGATTAACAGTTTTTCTAGTCACTCAACGAAAAGTCATTGGCCAATCACCAGTTCTCTAAAAGAGAGGCAATGTTCTATGTTGCAATAATTATAGCCATTACTTAAATCCCAGACACTGAGCATTAACTCAGGTAACTGAGGTAATTTATTCATTGAGATAATACATATAAAATAGTTTGGAATAATATCTGGTACATTATATAGATTCAGTAAATGCTGTATATTAATATTATTATTAAAATTATTAATGAGTATCTCAGAATGTGGAGTTTAATCTAGAATCAAATCTAAGGTACATGTTTCAGATACTTTGCTTGGTTGATCAATCATATTACTAATACCATCACTGTTGCTTTGACTGAACAGGTATGGTTATGAAATTGTAACACTGTGTGATATCAGTTATTGACAGGATAAGTACTGACTTGCAAATAACAGTTGGATGTAGCTTTTCAGTGTGACTTTTGTGGCACTGTAAATCCAGCATTTGCCCCTTAATCCCTCTTACTGTGTCCCTAGGATACCACATGTTCCAGCATAACAAACCGTCTGAACACTTAGTGGCTTGAGACAGTAGTAGGCAAAGGTTTTTTGTAAAGAGCCAGAGAATAAATATTTTAGGCTTTGAGGGCTACATGTGGTCTTTGTTACATATTTCTCTTTGTTTTGTTTTGTTTTATAACTCTTTAAAAATGTACTAAGCCATACTTAGCTCCTGGGCTGTACAAAAACATGTTACAGGCCAGATTTTGAAGACCATACTTTGCAGACCTCTGCCTTAAAACAACATCTATTGATTATTATTATTATTATCTCTCATGCCCCTGGAAGTTGATTGGCCTTGGCTGGATAGCATTAATTTGGAGTGTCTCATGTAGATGGTGGCTGGGCAGTCAAATAGTGGCTAGAGTTGGAATTTTCTTGAAGCCTTCCTGAATCACATGGTTGAAGTAATACATATAAAATCAGCTGGTTGATGTGGATTGTTGGCTGGGACCTCAGATGCAGCTATCAGCTTGAACATCTATAGATGGCCCCTCGAGTCCTAGCTCCACACTTAAATCCTGATCTTGGACAGGTTAGATCACCTTTCTGTGCCTCAGTTGTCTCATCTGTAAAATGGAAATAAGGGTTGTCATGAGGCTTAATTGAGGTAATACACATACAATAGTTTAGAATAGTGCCTGGTACATAGTAAAGACCGTGGCCTCCTAGCATGGCTGTGGCATTTCAAGGGTGAGCGTCTCAAGAGGGAGCTAGAGGGAGGCTGCATCTGCTTTTATTACCAGCCTCAGAAGTCACATCATGTCACCTGTCCAACCTCATATGCTTCATTGGAACGAGGTCACTGAGGCTGGCTCATATTCAAGGGAAGGATGACTAGACTTCATTTATTGATAGGGCCAGTTTCAAAGAATTTCCAGACATATTTTAAGAACACATGCCATGGAAGCTCTCAGCTCAGGGAACTCTCTGAGAAGCTGACACAGCATTGTTGCTCTGGTTGACTTTTGGTTGAGCAATGGGGAACACTCACCTCAGACTTTCCCATGATTTCGCAAAATAAACAAGCAAACCTACTCACTCAAGATTGAACACTCTGGTGGGGATGAGTGATTGTGGAAGGGGTGTGCTATTTTCCCACACTCTCTTGACTTTAAAATCCTAGATTTAAGAATTCATTCTCTTGCCAGCATTTCTGGATTCCAGCACGGTTGCATGCTTTTGGCATTTTCTTGATCTTGATACTGAATTCACCAGCCTACTGCAGAGGGCAGCAAGTACCACTGTTTGCCACTTTCAGGGCCTCAGATTGCGAATAAACAAACTAATATTCATTCCTGGCAAATTTCTTGCAAATTAATTTAATTTAATTTACAAAATTTTTTTGAAAAAAAATTTTTCCTGGTAAAAATATTTCTGTACTGTCATTGACTAATTCTCATTCCTTAGAAGGTTGAGAGAAACCTCATCAAGCCATTGGAAGTTTGGGAAATCAGCTTCCAGTGGTCTTTGAAAGAAACTGGATTGTAACGCTGCAGCACATCACAGAGGCTGCTTCTCCCAGTTGCTCTGGCGTAAATAGCCTTCCCAGCAACTCGAGCTTATTACAGGATCATCTCGGTGGTGCCATAGAGGAAAATGTGGTTCCTTCTTGTTAGCCTGGCCCCAACCATCTGTCTAAAACCTGGAACTCTGTGGATTCATTTTTCATGGGTATTTTATTCTGTCTCAATTTGTTGGGCTTTTAATATGGACCAAGCAATGTGCATATAATAGATGCCACTGAAAAGCAACTCAGCTGATCTATGTCAAGATTCAGACATTTTAGAGATGCTATGGGAGGTAGTTTGCAATCTAGCTGCTCTGTTTTTCTTTCCAACTGCTTTTGTTGCACATTTTGTGGTGAGATATAGGGTAGGGTGGGAAGAAAGCTAACTAGGGTTATGCCCATCTGAGATTTGTCTGGAACCCTTGAGAAAAAGAACTGCAGCTTACTTGTTACACTTGTCTTTCCCTTTTTCTGATTTTTCTTTCGTGTCCCCCAGCCTCAAGCATGTTTACTTCCCTGATGAGCCCCACTTTTGTGTTCCTGCGACTGTGTCCCCTCCTCTCCTTTCCTCTTGCCATGTCTGGGAATCTAGTTTGCTGATTCTCAGTCAGTCTCAGCAAGAGTTAGCAACATTGGTTTTCTAAACATCATTTCACCAAAATTGGCGAAATTCAAATTGGTGTTAGTCAGACTGCTTTAATTTAATTTCCTGGTGATCCCATTTGTTTGCATTTTTATCCAAAACCATTTAAATTGAAGCCTTACCTTTTTCACATTGTGTTCCCAACTATTTTTTTTTAAATGATTTCTATATTTTTGAATTATTGAATGTATCTATCTATTTGAACATTATCCAAATACCCCCAGAGAATCAGAAAGGCTAGAAAGACCTTTCTAAGGTCAGGTAAACTATTCCCCTAACTGCTGACAGTTTTTCTCCACAAGTAACAAGAGCAGATAATGACCCTGTGTAGGCTGGTTGATCTAAAGGGATGGAACACTCTACTTTGCTGACTTTGCAACCTGCAGGTTCAGTGTCTGTTGCAGCTGAGTTTGTAGGTGGCAGTGCAGCTTGTTGCTTCATTTCTTGGACCCATCACAACTAGATGTAAAGAGTACAAGGGGAATGAGACACAGTGCCTATCCTCCAGTAGTATGGGGGCACCGGAGAAGAGATCTTCATATCTACCCCCCTTATTCATATAGTTACAAGACTATTAACATTGCCTGTGTTTCTCAGATGTTCCAAAAAGAAAAAAAAAAAACATTTGCAACTCTGAATAATGTTCAGATACCTAGCTTCCTTACCTCCAAGGGCACATATGCTTGGGTAACTCTTTTCCCTTCACCATTGGTTCACTGGACTTCAAGTTTCAGCTTTTGAAGATCCATCCATCACTAGTATGGAAAAATGGTACCCTGGGAAACCCACACATGAAAGGAAATGTTATGGGTGATGAGATTGTACAAATACTTGGAATGGCTAGCAGAGAAAGGAAAGTTTAAAAAATAAAGAAAGGAGAAAGCTGAAAGCATCCAACAGTGCTCTTAGCTGACATTCATCAGTGAGAACCAAGGATGAGGACACAGTGGACCAACCCTTCCTTTCCTCTGAAGTTCGAGAGCCTTAGTCTTGAGTGATGAGCAGAGGGCAGAGCAGGATTCTGATGGTCCATGTCAGCTAGTGTCCTTTGCTTGGACAGCAAAGGAAAGAGGGGCTTGTGCAATGTCAGAGGGGCTTGTGCAATGTGAGAAAGGCTCTGCTGAAGCCAGGCCACACTCCCTTGGGCCACCACTGCAGATGCGATATCTTGGAACTAGACTTTCCAGTTACACAACTGAGGAAGAGACAATGCATTCTCCGTCTCATTCACTAGGGAGACCTCAGAGGTCTCCCCTCACACCCATGCATTTGGTGCCTTCTTTAGTTGTCTCTAAGTTTATGAAGGACAGCCACAGCCAGGTGCGATGGCTCACGTCTGTCGTCTCAGTGACTTAGGAGGGATAAGGTGGGGGGATAACTTGAAGCCAGGAGTTTGAGGCTGCAGGGAGCCGTGATTGTGCCACTGCATTTCAGCCTGGGTGACAGAGTGAGACCCCATCTTTCTAGAATCCTAGAATAAGGGATCTTATTAATAATTTAATCCAACTACTTCATTCACGAATTCATTTGTTTAGAAATAATTTCAAACTTACAGAAAAGTTGTAAATATATTACAGAGAACTCCTGTATATACCCTTTACCAGTTAGCATTTTGTTTATTAACTTTGTTATTCCTTTTCTTTCCCCCAGCACACGTGTAAGTATATACACTGGCGACAGCAGATTATGGTGCCAAAGTTAGATACATTCAGGGGTGACCAGAATAGCATGGAGATTTTCATAGTAAAGGGGCCCATGCTTTATGGATGAAAAGAAGTTCAGCTGAAAAGGAGAAGTACATTCTAGGCAGAGAGAGTATAGAACAAGTCACAAAATTACCTATGGACCCAGAAACCCAGAGTAGCAAATAAGCTTTACATATATTATTTTCTTTAATTCCCATTAATAACTCTATCAATATTGGTACCAGAATGTAAGCCCTACTAGTTCAGGGGTTTTCATCTCTTTCATTCATTGTTACATTCCTGGCTACTACCAAGTGCCAGGTTGCACTTTGGTAGGTGTTCAGCAAAGGTTTATTAAATGAATAAGGTAGGTACTCTTTGCTTCCATTTTGCTCATGAAAAAATGCACACAGAAATGATACAAGGTTACATAGCCTTGTGAGTAGTAAAGCCAAGATTTTAAGAAAATATGAGCAAATATGTTTTATACTGATAGAGATGAAAAAGGTCTTTTAAAACATAATATGTAAGCTAGATACAAAAGAAAGAATTGATAGATCTGATTACAAAACTATTTTGAAAATTAGTTTGCCAAAAAATCATAAACCAAGTTGAAAGAAAATATTGGACAATGTAAAGATATTTAACATAATTAGATAGTGCTGATATCCTTAATATGTAAAGAGCACTTATGAATCAACAGAATAAGTAAATGCTCTAATAGAAAAATGGACAAATACCATGAAGAAGCAGTTCAAAAAATATATAAGTAACCAAATAAGATGAGAAATAAAATATATAAATATATGTATAAAATATATAGTCACTTCACATGAAATAAAAATGTAAATATAAATAGTGCTATATTATTTTAAGTAGATACTAACAGTATATAATGTTGGTCAAGGAGGAAGGAGGTACTCTCACATATTGGGTGTAAGAATATAATTGGTACACACAGTCTTGCTAGAAAGCAGTCTAGCAGCATATTCCAAAATGTAAAATGAGTCTACTCTTTGATTCAGGATTTTAGCTATTCTAAGGCGATAATCAAACAATTATACCAAAATGTTTTTACAAATAATTCTCACAGTGTTCTTTCTAATATCATGAAAATTTGGGAAGGATTTAAATGTCTATCAATAAGGTCTTAAATTATTATGTAACTATAAAATGGATTTCTGTGCAGCCATTACATAAGATAGCGTATAGTGCAGGTTGGTGTACTCTGGCTTTCAGGCCAAATTCAGCCTACTCCTGGTTTTGTTGATAAAGTTTTACTGGAGCACAGCCATACCCATTTATGTATGTATTTTCTACACATGAATTAGTTTATGTAATGCTAGCTGCCATATGGTTGCTTTCATACTACAATGGCAGAATTGAGCAGTTGCAGCAGAGACCAAATAGCCGAGAGGCCTGACATATTTATCTTTCCCTTTTCAAAGTTTGCTGACTCCCCGATATATAGCTGCATTCATTGACATGGAAAGCTCTTTGTAACATATTATTATTTTTTAATTTTTTAAAATCCATATCCAATTTGTCTGGATAACGTAATATACTATTGATGTTAAAATCGCACGTATAGAGTGGTCCCTGTAGCATGTGATCATGTGGTGATGGGGGAGGCAAAAAGGGCGCCTTAAAGAAGGTGTTTTAAGAGAGATTTCTTGAGTTATGTTCACCAGAATATTCTGGGCTTCCTGTGAAGTTAACCTCCTTATGTTTTTCCTTAATCTCTTTATATTTTTTAAAAATAATTCCTAAGTTTCTAAAAAGCAATAAATTTCTTACATTTTTAAATTGGAAAGTAAACTTGAGAGATAATTGTATGAATAAAATGAATAAATGGCTAATATCCTTATTATATGGAGTTCATATAATTGTTTGTCAAGCAAAGAACTTGAACTGATAACTCACAAAAGAGGAAATAGAGCTACTAAGCAGACATAAGTAGTCAAAGCCTTACAAATAATCCAAATTGAAAGTGCTTTGTCTTTTAAATTAGCAGATTTTAAACTTATTCTATACTAGTTGGGGGTTCCATGAAACATTTCTTTCATCAATTGCTGGTGGCCTTATAAATTGTTGTAATTTTGGAAAATAATTTGGCAATGCCTTAATACCTTTTAATACACACCTTGAATTTATATACCTCTAATGTACACCTTGAAACAGTAATCTCACATTTAGGAATATACACTTCCAAAGAAATAATCTTTAATTTATGAGAGACTATATACACCAAGCTGTTTAAACAGCGTAAAATGTCTTTCATTTAAAGCTAAATGGAAAAATAGACCCATAAATCCTAAATATGAAAAACTATATGACTGCATCAAAACATCACATGTACTCTATAAAGATATACAATTATTATGTACCCATAATTAAAAATAAAACATTTTTTAAAAAGTAAAGCTAGATGGAATTGAACATAAAACCCTATGCTATTTTACTGTGGTGGCAAAAATCTCTGTAAGACAATACCCAGTGCTGATGGGGATGTAGAACAACAGACATTCTCATGCTTTGCTGGTAGGAATGCAAAGCAGCCACTCTGAAAAACAGTTTTTCCATTTCTTACAAAATTAAACATACTTACCCACGTTACACAATAATTTCACTCTTACTTAACTTTGAGAAATGAAAACTTCTGTTCACAGAGAAACATGTGCATGAATATTTATAGCAGTCCTACTCAAAATTGTCAAAAACTGGAAATAGCCCAAATGCTCATCAGTGGTAAAAAAGACACACTGTGGTACATCCATCCAATGAAATACTACTCAGTAATAAAAAGGAACATGCTACTGCTAATCACAACTTGCACGAATCGTATAAACATTACACTGAGTAAAAGAAGGCAGACACAAAAGCTCACATACTGCGTTCTTCCACTTCTATGTTCTTGAAAAGACAAACTATAGAGAGCAGATAAGTGGTTGCCAAATGTTGGGAAGGTGTGACTATAAAGGGAAAGCTCCGGTTTTCGTTTTTGGCCTGATGAACTGTTCTGTATCCTAATTGCAGTGGTGTATACACAAGCCTGTACATGTATTATAATGCATTGAACTGTCTACCAAAGAACAATAAATTTTACTACATGTGAATTTTAAAAAATAAAATTAAAATATATCCATATAGGAAAAAATTGGAAGATAATACACAAAAATTACAATATTATTTGTTTACAGTGATGGTATTATGGATAATTTTTTTTTATTTTCCCAATTTTACATAAACAACTTTCTTATCACTAAAGTAATACAAACACACGTATCAAAGAACTCTAAAATCATAGTAGTGTAGGAAGTTTGGGAAAGGAACAAATAGCCCTTCATACTGTAAGAACGTCTGAAGACACTGTGCATTGTGGGTCACCAGGGTCCGTGCAAATTGTGCCCAGAAATCTATTTATGAGATTCATGAAGCGTTCAGTTTACTTCAGGAAGTAGAAGTGGAAGTAGTCATGGATTTTTTTGCTTTGTTAAAAGCTTCTTTTATTTGGAAAATTTCCTTTTGTAGAATTCTCCATTCACCTTTGATGCCAAATAAATGAGAATATATCATAAAGCAAAGAATAACCCCATGTAAATATGCCTTACCTCATTTGTTCTTCAATACCCTCTACTCCCCCACCCCCAGACACACAAAGTAAGTACAATCTTCTGTTTGCAAAGAGGAAAGTGAAGTACAGAAACATTCTAGCTTAAACAGTGGGCAATAAAAATACCATTTGTTTTAACTTTTCTCCCACAAAACAGATTGTACTTTTTTTGTTGCTTGCCAAAATGATGATAAAGGTAATATTATCATATCTTTTCTCTTAAGAATTTCCTGGACTTTGTTAGATGAAATAAATGTATGTCTTGGGAGAGAAAGTATTTGTTTTCTCACTGAAAATTCACAGGTGCTTCAGCTATAACGAGATTCTCCTGTTTGGTTTGCCAGGATTTTATACTGCACGCTCATTCTGCCCCTGCATTACCTCGAGCCATTCTTTTCGTACATCTTCCTCAACCTCCAGCTCATCATCTTGCAGATCCTTCACGTTTACTGGGGTTACTACATCCTGAAGATGCTCAAAAGATGTATATTCACGAAGGTAAGGGCTGTCCAAATATTATTGCTCTTAACAAGTGAACTTCATTGCCTGATTTAAGGTGATGGCCAGACAGTGGAATGTTCAAGTTTACTTATAGTTTTAACCAGAATTCTTTTTTTTTAAATGTGATTATTATTCATAAAAGTGTCTCTAAAATAGAGCTAGATTTTTCATAAATAGGTCTCTAATTGCTTTTAAGAAATTGCTTTTATTAGAAGATGTGTTATTTTGAAATTTTTTAATCCAAAAATTGCTGCTTTTAAAGAATCCCCTAATGAATCAAAATTTGCTCTAGTTTGCAGCAAGCTTTATAACAATAGTTGAGCAATATTTCAGAGCGTTATGTTTACTTTTCCTCTTGCTCCTACTCTCTAAAATATTGTCCATCACTTGGCTATCCTTTGTTTCTGAAAACATCTTCCCCAAATAATAACAAATTAGTAATACTTTTTAAATAATATAGGGTTTTTGTTTTGTTTTTTGTTTTGAATTCAGTTCTGTGCTTTAATTCCAGAACATGGTGAGAAAAGGGACACGGCAATGAGTAGGACACAGTCACTGACTTTAGGGAAACAGCCCACCATCTAGTAGGGAATATCTCACCCACTAGCAATGAGCTATAACACAGAGAATGTTCTGTGCTAGAGGTCCCAGGAACTTGCTGTGGAAGAAAAGGTAAAAGAAAAGTTGATTCAAGAGACCAGGGAAGGCCAGGTGTGGTGGCTCACGCCTGTAATCCTAGCACTCTGGGAGGCCAAGGCAGGAGGATTGCTTGAGCTCAGGAGTTTGAGACCAGCCTGAGGAAGAGCGAGACCTCAGCTCTACTAAAAATAGAAAAATTAGCCAGGCGTGGTGGCACATGCCTATAGTCCCAGCTACCCAGGAGGCTGAGGCAGGAGGATCACTTGAGCCCAGGATTTGATGTTGCTGTGAGCTAGGCTGAAGCCACAAGCACTCACTCTAGCCTGGGCAACAAGCGAGACTTTGTCTCAAAAAAAAAAAAAAAAGAGAGACCAGGAAAAGTTTTACTGAGTGATGGATTTTTTTTACTCGAACCCTTGAGGCAAATAAAAAAAATCTGATCACACTCCTTCTTTGTCTTGAAATCATACATCTACGGGAGCTTTAAATTAAGGATCCTTCAAGTTCAAAGTTACAACTGGACCACTTTTGGGTGTCACTATTCGTGTATAGCATAGTATTGTATCAACAGATTAAGTGACTTTTATGTAACAATATGCTGGAAATTAGTTTAATAAACTTATTTTATCAACGCTTTAATTCCTTTTCTGATTTAGTAAATATGTCTCAAAGATCATTGAAGAGTTGACAGTGAAATGGACATCGCAATATTAATAATTGACCTCAGGGTTTTCCCCCTTCTCATAGCTTCTAGTTCAAGAAAGAGGTATGGGAAATTGGGTTACATCTGGATTAATCTTGAAAAAAAAAACCTTGAAAGTTTGTTTTTTTAACTGATTCATTGATGTGAGCTTGTTTTCTCGAGAGCTGACTTTCCCCGTTAAAGTTGGAGTGCCAAGAAAAAAAGTTCCACTGAATGGTTCTAGTTTATTAAAATTCTAAATGTTTTTCTGTAGTCTCTGGAAAAGTTATCTTATCTCTCAGTGACTGATAATGTTGAAGCAACTGACATAAGTTTAAGAATTTGAGCAGTTAGACAATTTGCACATCCAGTGGTTGACATGGAGGAAGGTCCCTGAACAGAGCCTGTAATTCCACTGGGCCCAGCCTTCCAGCAGCTCCTGTCCCCACACAGAAACTGTTCCCTTATTACCCAATGAGAGGCAATAATTACAGGCTGGAAATGGATCCAGGGAAAATGAAACTTGGAGAGCAGAAGTACCTTTGTTTGGTTTCATTGTGATTTTCCTATTTCTTATCTCTAATGGGTCATGCCAAGCCTGATTAGAAACCCACTGTGTTGGGAAGCTGTGGACAGGAATCCCTGATTTCTCGTGCTGTACTTTGGAAAAGCTGTTTCCAATTGCAATTTGACAGCAGTTGTGAAGGCCCCCACAGCCCTAATCCGCGCAGTTTGTATGACTTCAGCTGGCTTGCATGTGCACTCTGTTTTCCACCGCAGTGGCAAAACTGGCTGTGAAATCAGCTTATTCCTCCAAAGCCGTAAAGCCTCCGTTTAAAGAATGCTATTTGAAGGCATGGTTGTACTGCAAAGGGGAGGAGAGGGCTAGAGGCAGAAATTGAAATTCTTAGAGAAACAACTAACAAATCAGTTTTCAATTTTGTTTAATAAAAATTCATCATTTAACGTTGCAACCTCAGTTGTTACTAAAGTGACTAATTCTTGGAGACTTTATAAATGAAATTGCAGAAGTTCCATAGGCTTCTAAATTTTTTTTAAATCTTATAACAGAGATTGAGAATTTGTCCCTTCAATTCCTTACAGTTGGCAGGTTCTCTGTAAGTAATTTTAAACATACAAATAAGTAACTTGGGGAAACACACCACCCTGTTTTGGGTGGAAAGTTACAAAATACTGTATTAATCATTTTTGTCTCTGTGTATTTTCATGGCAAACTGAAAAGAAGTGATTATACTTTTTAAAAATAGATTTTTTTTGGTAATGGTCACATCTTATTTTCCCTAAAAAATAGGTTATTGCATACATACGATGATTGATAACTTGACACCATTTACTTTTACTCCTGAATACTTTAAAATAAGAGTATCACTGTAATTTCAGGACACTAATGTATTTGGGTCCCATATAGCAGGCATCTTGCTGCTTACAAGGCTTGGTACCGAAACTTATCTGAGTACTGTAAAATGGGTTGTTTTGTAATGAGCCACCAGCCCACATATCACATCAGGAAATATGACAGGCTGACATATTCATCTTGTCATTCTCTTCACAAACGTGGGAAGTGCTTTGAGAGGAAATTAGAAGGAACATAGTATGCTTTTGTTTAGTATTACTTAAGAGAACTTGATCATCCTTAAGCTTTTATTTTCTCCTTTCTAAATATCATCCTGGGTCCTGGCCAACTCAAGCATGTCTCTGTGACATCTTACACTGGTGAATAGCCAAGGCGTGCAAGGGGGAGCTGGAGCTGCAGCCATTAAAGCCAGGATGGAGAAACAAGCCCCTTGGCAACCTGCCCCAGCCATCTGCAACTCAACAGGCAGTATCTCTTACAAGTTCGCAGAATGACACTTTACATACGCTGAGCTGTTCTAGTTAAAAAGGAACGCGAGTAAACATGAGGAAACGGGCCTACACCAAATTCACACAGTAACTTCATGACAAAGCTAAGACTAGTCTCTGAAAACGTGTAATACTTCATCTTTTTTTATTATTCTTTATTTGAATTAAGGGCAGAAAATTATTAACCAGAAATAACTGGAAAATTAATTTAAAGTACTTGTATGGAATTTAAAAAGTGAGTACATAAACAAATTGAGTAATAGAGATTTTAGATTAAAGTGCAGCACAAATCCTTTCACTTCTGAACTTCCTAAAAGCATAAGAAAAATGTATTGTTAATTATTTTTTTATCCCAAATCATTTTCAAGTAAAGCAATTAAATAGCTAAGAGTACAGGCTCTGTGTAGATTCAGACCTCTGCTCTCCCATTCACTGGCTGTGTGATCCTGGGAATATTATTACTTCTGTTCATTGCCTTAGTTTCCTCACCTGTAAAATGAGGATGATAATATTAGTACCTGCCTTGAAGGATAAAGCCCTTAGAACAGTGTCTGGCACATAGTAAGCACATGATAAGTGTTAGCTGCCATTATCATGATCTAAATTACAGAGCGTGTGTAAATGGGAAGTTGCCTGGCACTTGGCTCTCAGCAAGCTACTTCCTTTTGCTTAGACAGGGCTGCAGCTGGTATCAGATGTCAGTCCTTGACTTGCAACCAAAGGTTCCAGTGACAGTTTTCTAAACTGTCTTCTGCCAGTTGACTTTCATGATTCACATTCAGCTGATCTTTTTTGACACATTCTCTCAGATGTGAACATATTAGGAAAGAAATACAAAATCCGTAATATCCAAGAAGTCTCCAAGTCTCTCTTGTTAGTAGGCAAGAGCAAATGTAAAACTGCACTTTGCTGGGCAGCACTTCATAAACACATCACAAAGACTGACAATTAAAATAAAGTTTTATAAAAATGCTATCAACTTATATATTTTATATTTCTGAATGTTTATACAGATTAACTAGTTTGACATTTATTCAAGCAACAGCAGCGGAATTTGTAAACTTGTAATGATAAAAATACTGTGTTAAGATGCTTGGCTTAAAGAATTTCAAACTTGAATATTCTTCCACACTATGCAGCTCAGCAACAAAATAGAATTCCCATAGAGTTTTAGAACTGGAAGAGACCATTATTGTCTACCAAGACACTGTGGCTCCTCTCCACAAAGCCTTGCTGTTGTATTGCAGTTCACCACTCACACCCACATATATGAATTCGTACTGACTTTGAGTCTCATGTCACTCTCTGAAGCAGCTATTATTATCCCTCTTTCACAGAGGAAGAGAGCAAGGGTGAATGAAGAAGTAACATGACTGCTTAACACCACACAGCAGTGGAATTCACACCCTTGACGCCTGACACTTCAGAGCCCATGCTGCTAATGCTGTGTTCCTCTGCTTCCCTAGAAGTTTTGTATTTATGGACACATGTCCTAAAAATACAAGTAATACATATTTTGTGTGTGTGTTTACGTGTGTTTCTGTGGGTACGCATTTAGTGTGGCTTATGCTCAGTTCTCACAAATTTCATAATGGTATCTTTGACTTGGCTGAGTTATCTTTATCATTACAAGTAATCAATGAATTAATTCTGGCTTTTCATAGAGGGCACTCTAGAAAACCTCATGAAGTGTATGCCTTTTAGAGGATCGTGTGGCTTAAAGCAATTGTAAGCCAGAGATTTTATAAATTGGAAAGGGTAGAGTTGTTTAAAGAAGTCAAAGTTGAATAGCCAACCATCTGCATGGCTCTAA